CAAAAGGAAACAAACAGGAAGTACCCCTCAGAAGAGACTGAAAGTAACAGAAGGAGGAGGAAGAATACCAGCAGAGTACAGGGTCATGATCTAAGGACATGACAATCACAAACAGGGGATACACTAGTGTCAAATGCTGCTAAGAGACCAAACAAGGGAAGTACCATGGCCTCTAACAAGAAGAAGCACCACTGATCTCAACAAGAAAAGTCTCATGAGGCTGTGGGCAGAAGCCACGCTGCAGCAGATGGAGGCGTAAGTGAAAGGTGGAGAAAAGGAAACACTGAGTATAAGCAACTTGTTCCAGAAATTCAGTTGTGAAAGAAAACAGAGAAACAGGGCATAACTGCAGAATAAGATGGAATTGAGGGACAATTTTTGGTAATCTTCTTACTTGAAACATATCAGACTTCAACATTTAAAAGCTAATGAAGGGCTCAGTGGTTCCACTGCCTGCTTCACAAGCACAAGGTCCCAAGTTCAATCCCTGGTACTATAAAAAAAAAAAAGCTCACGAAAAGGAGCCTGCAGAGAGAAGTCAAAGATAGAGGACAGGGTATAACAACCAAATCAGATTACTGACAAAGCAGCAGAGAAAGAATCTACAGCAAAGATGTGAGAGGAGTTGCAGACATGGGGACTGTCTTCCATTCCAATACAAGAGGAGGAGGGAAAGATGAGGTGGATCCCCCAAAAGAAGTTTAAATAAAAGCTGAAAAGCTGGACTTGGTGTAAGCTGGACTTGGGACCTGAAATCCCAGCACTCTGAGCAGCTAAGAGAGAAAGATCACAAGTTCAAGCCCAATCTGGGCAATTTAGTGACTTAGCAAGGCCCTGATTCAAAATAAAATATTTAAGGAATTGGGGCTACAGACCAGGGCAAAGGCCCTGGGTTCACTCCACAGTACTGGGGAGAAAAAAAATGTTTAAATACTAGAAGCCAGGTGCTGGAGGAATATTCACTCATATTCTTCTGCACTGTACAGGCCCATAAGCAATGTACAAAGATTCCAATTTCTCCATAACCTCACTAACCCTTATTTCTGTCTTTTTAATAGAGCCATCCCAATGCGTGACATAATCATCTCACTATGGTTTTGACCTGCATCTAGAGGCATTCTCTTCAGAAGTCACCTAATTTTCCCTGTGAAAAGGTAAGGCATTCTGTTAAGAGGAAGAACAATAAAATGTGGAATGAAACAATTTGGGGAAAACAAAATAACAAGTAGATAAATTTGAAACAGCAACCAAAGAGGATGAAAAGAGCACTGGTCAGGGTAACCTAACAAGAAGGTAAGGCAGCACACATAACAAGTTGAAGATCATAGGCTGTTGAAGTATCCTTTGATTTGCAGCAAGATATTTCCCCAGGAAGATGTAAAACTGATATAACCATTATTGGAATATAAAGTTGCTCAGAGAATTTTCCCATTTAAAGATGGTGATAGAAGTGTCCCTGAAAAACCCACCATTTAGTAGCTTACACTTCTCTAACACACCTTAGAAATGACAGTTTACTTGTGATCCACTCTTCCTGCCCTTTGAGGCTGGAGCATCTCTCATATATATATTCAGTGCAGATCTACCACCCTTACTGCATGGATTTATAAATATAAACAGTGCTAATTTCATCAAATGGCAAACTGCAAGAGAAACATCACACATCCATAATTTCAATAATGGTCAGTCCTCTGAAACACGCCAGATAATCATATAAAATATTTATTACTGTCAGGGATGTAGCTTAGTGGTGCAGCACCTGTCTGACAAGCGTGAGGCCCTGAGTTCGATTCCTGATACGAAAAAAGTGGGGGGGGGAGACAAAAAAGAAAAAAATGTTTATTACAAATTGATAACTACGTATACAAGTAGTAACCAAGGACACAAAAGAAAATGGTATTCTGATTTAACCCATTACCTTGCAAAGTGTGAGATATACCATAATTTTTAGTTTAATTCAACAAATACATTCCTATGTGATATGAAATATAGATCTGATTAATACAATTTTGTCTCAGGGTTCACATCTTGAGACTAACTCCTAAATAACCTAGACTGATACCAAGGGTTTTATCTACGCCAAGTAACTTACCATCCCAATACTTGGTGACTTAAAACAATAGTTTTTTATCTATCTTAGATCTGTTTTGAGTGAATTCAGCTATGTTTACTCATGTGGATGCAGGCAATAAAGTCTGATTAAGCCTCATTCATATATATGGGACTGTCCAGTAGTCTTTCCTCTTCCACCTAGCATGGCCCAAGCCTCTATATGCTGTACACTTCTACACATCAGCTTCCAAGGCAAGACGGTGGAAGCTAAAGCTGCCATGTTTCTTAGGCACCAACCCCAGAACTGCACAGTATCACTTCTACCACCTTTTCTGTTAGTCAGCAGGGGAGCCTAGATTCAAATAAAGCATAATTAGATTCACTCCTGATGGAAGGAGCAAAGGAAGGGAAGAGAATGCTGGTGGTCATCTTTGGAAACAACCTATCACATCTATAAAAGCAACCACTGGATGTCTTCACTATACCAACATAGTTTAGGACTGAAGTATCTGAGAAGGGATAGGCTTTGTCTACTTCCTAAACTATCCCAGGGCCGGGGATTTAGCTCACTGATGACGCTGTCTGCCTTGCAAGCACAAGGACCCAAATTCAATTCCCGGTACCCCCCTCCCCCAAAAAACCAAAACTATCCCAGCAGAGTTGACCATGTAGACTTCTAATTTCAAAAAGTCATAAAATCCTCTTTTCTGGGGCTGTAGGAAGGATAGACATCACACTTCAGAAATGGTCTAAGAATAGGCTTCATGGACTAGATCACTTCCTTAAGTCATTTCACAAACCTTTCAACTTGCTATTATGTACACATGGGTATGTCATTTTAAAAGTGTACCTAATACTCAAATATACAGAAGTATCCTAGTTATTTAAACTTCTGTTGTTAAATTACCTAAACTCAAGAATCAAATAGATTTGGATAACTTCATTAACAAAACTCCTGATATTGGCTCTTCTAAACTGAAGAATGAGCTAGTGGGCATGGTGGTGAACATCTGCAAGCCCAGCGCTTGGGAGGCTGAGGCAGGAGGACTGTGTGAGTTTAAGGCCAGCCTGGTCTACACAGTGAGCTTAAGCCGCCTGAATTACAGAGCAAGATCCTGTCTCAAAAAAAAAAAAAAAAAAAAAAGAGAGAGAGCGCTAGTTTTGGATATGACAGTATTTCTTGAACTCTGAATTCTTACAACCTGCAAGTCTGTAATCCAATAAATTTGTACAGAAAAACTATTATCTTTAGACAGTATAATTACAGGGCATGTACACCCTTTAAACTTATTTGTATTTTCTAAATTTTGTATCTTTGCAGATTTTTTAGAAGGTAAGTCTATCTTGTGTACTTGGAAACACTAAATTTTAGTCCATTTTGTGGGTCAAATATATAATTGATAGGATGTATTCCTCTCCTCTAGAAAGTTTGTTTAAATTCAGCCAACACTCGCTACATTCCTCTTGTGCATTCAACACACATAAAATGTGAAAATGTTTTTAAGATTTTTTTTTAAACCATGCAATACACTTAAAAAAAAAAAAAAGGCATTCCGCTGACTTGCTGGACTCTGGACTCCTGTACAGCCCAAACCTTGTCTCTTATGCATGACTGTTTAAAGTAGTACACACAGAAGGAATATCACAACAGTAACAAAGGTCCTTTACATTCCCTCACAATTTCATTCTCCCCACAATGATTCTGAAGCAGAGGAAGACCTTTTTTCAGACTCCCACCCCCCGCTCGACCCCGTGATTGTTAAAATGGGGCCAAATTCTTACCGGAACATGGAGGTACTTTTTAATTTTAAAATTTTAAACATTTTTTTAAGCTACAAGCTTGATGGCTTTGGTTTTTATCGCTACTTGTTTTCTGAAGTTCCTGGAACTTGATTATGTAGATCACAGACATAAAAATCACCTGGCAAAGTAATCTCTTTTTGAGATAAAATGCTTCCTCTTCAAGAGAAAGGCAAGATATAAGAAAAAAGGTCTGTGTGGACATACCAATAAACAGACTGGAATTCACACAATGAATTAAAAGTCGTCTCACTACACGAACTACTATATAAACACAATTTAAATTACACACTCAAACTAAAGCAATTCAAAGGGTGCAATCTACCCAGTGCTTTCTTCAACCAGATATTCTGAAGTTTGAGGGAGGCTATAAACTCCCTTCAGAGTTCAACCATTTTTCCATGCCTTCTGGCATTATATATACTCTGAGGATTTAATATTAATGGCCTATAAAACACACCGGTTTCAGAAACTCAGCTTTTGCCCTTTATGGGCTTTAAAGCTAGCGAGACACTGAATCTTTTCTTAAAAGCATGATTACAAGATTTGTTTTAAAAAATTGCAATCCTCAGCTGCAACAGTTCTTCATCAGATGGCTTTATATTGTCTCGCCCGCAAATATAAACAAAAAGCCACTGAAGAGTACAAGAGAGCGTGCCTCGATAGTCATTTTAAATAAAATAAAGCAGGTAGGTTTGAAGGGCTCCTTTTTTCATCACAGGAAAGACAAGAAAAATGCTTTTTACTCTGTTCACCGCGCTCCTGGGCATACCTCCAGTAAGAGAATCGCCCCTTGGTGGATCACATGTCGCGGGGGAAAGGAAAACAAACGGGAACTGGGCTTGTGACACCGCTACCCTGAGATGCTGAGATCCGGGGAAGGGCCAAGTGAGGATGGAGCGTCGGAGGGAAGTCTGCTCTCAGCAAATCGGCGCGCAAGGTAGTGACACGCTTCAGGGGTGAGCAGAACCGCGCTGGTGCAGCTCGAAACAGAAAGCGAGCGGGGAAAACTTTCCCGGCCTCTTTCACTCTCGCCGCTTCCTAGCTGGAGGAAGCGCAAGCTGAGGGGCCAGAGCGCCGGCTGCGGACGCTGCGCCTCGCGGGCCGGGAGCCGTGGAAGGGCGGCGGGAGCGTGTAAAGGGGCATACCCGGCGGTCCAGTCCGCGGGATAGGGAGAGAGGAAGGCCCGGGCCGGGTGCGACCAGCGAGCTCCAGCCCGCGTCCACCGCTACCTGCAAAGCCAGCGCCGCCCGCCGTCCGAACCCAGGCTGTGCGAGGGCCGCGAGCTCTCGCAGTTCCGCCGGCTGCAGGAGCCTGAGTGAGCGAGCAGCGGCGCAGACTCTCCGCTCAGCAGCTGAGCGCGCGCTGGGGGAGGCCGGTCACGTGACGAGGGCCGCCGCACGTGACCCGTGGCCCGGGCCGCCTCTCCCGGCTCTTGGTGCCCGAGGCCCGGACTTCCGTAAGCCAGCCCGAGGCCCTGCGGAGAGTAGAGGGGGAGCGTAGTGGCTGTGGCGGAAACTCACCATAGGCTTTTGCCTGTAGGGGAAACGAGGGACGCGCCCGGCGCAGGCTCCTGCCCACCTCCTCCGAAGGCTGGGCTGTGGAGAGAGGCCCACCGAGAGGGAACTAGGACGGGAGGGAAAGGGCGATGCGCGGCGCCGCGGGCGAGGGCCGCGGCTGGGCTGAGACGTTGTTTGTTTCGCCTGGCACACGTTTCTACCGCTCACACTCACCCCCACCTGCCCTGGCTCCAAAGCACCAGCCAGGAAGATAGAGAAGGTGGCACCAGGGCCAAGACAAGAAGGAAGGACGTGAAGGACAGGGTGCAAATAAAGGCAGGCAGATGTCCCTCAGAAACAGGCTGTCAAAACTGGAAGGAGCTAGGAGGGCTCTGACTCAACCCATTTCTTACAAATAGGAAACTGTGAAGGACAGTACAATTAGAAACAGGGAACTTGAGAGAGGCACTACTTCCCCTTCTTTCAACTATACACAACACCATCCTAATGACTATCCATGTTTAAATTTAGGAGGCGAGATGCCCAAGTGGCAGATCGTTGACACCAGTGAGATGGAATGGCAGGCACCTGGAACAGAAGGGTCTGGCCACAATTGGAGGCACCTGCAGGTAGAGCTGTCTGACCCTTTAAATGCTGGAAGCCTGAGTTGTCAAGGGTTGCTCTTCCTGCTCCTTTTTCCTTTTACCCTTCTGCCTGTTCCGGCTGCTACCATGCTATGATCTTCAATAGACGCAGCTTCTTATTACCAGGTGCACTCTTGGCAATGCCTTCCTTGTCCTGTACAAGAACCTAGACGATTTTTGTCCCATTCAACTGTAACAGAGGAACTGCTTCTTGCTGCTCAAGCCTATTAACTGTAAAGAACACAGTTTTCTGTAAAATCTATACAGCTTTTCAGCTTTTCAATTGGCTCTGCAGAATGAAGTCCAAACTTCTTGGCATAGTGTTCCAAGCAATCGTTCAAACTTTCCTTTCCCATTTGTGTGCCCATGAATAAATTTTTTAAAATGTTTCCTAAGTACAACTAAACAGCTCTGGTGGATTACTAGAAAAACTTACTTTCCCCATCTGCCCATTTCCCAAGGTTATTCTAAATTCTGGCTACAGAGAATTCCTGTTTGCATTGACTACTTAACTTTCCTTCAATTACTTTTTTCCCTTAGTTGCTTTACTTCCATTTGCATTTGTTCCAGTCTTTTTCCCTCTATCTGAAATCTGAATTACTATCTCCGTTCCTGAAAAGGGTGGGGGGGACAGTAAAAAGGTATAACCAGATCTTATTCAAGAACTGTTGCAAGATGAGAGTTGAGCCCAATTGTATATTCTCTTATCTCTGTTTCCTCAAAGGTGTGACCCTGCCTTTGTTGATTAGGCTCAAGCAATTGGAAAGATTAAGGCACAGAAACTAAACTTTAGAAGGTCTCAGGTAGTTTGATCAACGTAAGCCCCTTAATACTTCAACCTAAACTTCTTGTCCCTAAACCCCCCACCCATAATCTTAGCCTCCACTAAACAGGAAAGATCTTATGACCTAAAGTAATTCCAGGGAAGACCAAAGACAGCCATGGAGCTAGTCAGATTCCAGGAGCCTCCGTGGAACAAGGATCTCAATAAAAAGGAGCTGCAGACAAGAATCTACAAGTATTTCACATTTCCCTTTGGAATGCTCCCTTCTTTTCCTGAGTAATTGTCTATCATCTCTCTCTTCCCTGTTTTTCTCCATCTTCAAAAAAATTGTCTTCTCAGGGCCAGAGATTTAGCTCAGTGGTTCCGCTGCCTGCCTTACAAGCACAAGGACCAGAGTTTGATCCCCAGTACCAAAAAAAAAAAAAAAGTCTTCTCTTAGTTTAAACTTGGCTTTTTAAATTCTTTACTGATGCTGGGTTTATGATTCCCCAAGAGCTGTGTGTTCCAGCAGAGTAGCATGATGTGGTGTGGTGGTGTTTACTCCTTCCCAGACATTACATCTTGACTAAGATAGTAGCATTTCAGTGAATTTACTAATAGAGGCTTTAATAGAAACTCTTGGCTACAATCTGATGGAAGGAACTTTCTGTGAAACGTGTATGAGATCAAAGAGAGAGAGGAAGAGGGAAAGGGAGAGGAGGGAAAGGCTTGTGGTTTGATTCATCCAGTAGTTCTTGAGTGCTCACTGCTATGTGTCCGGTGTCATATTTAGAGCATCTTGGAGGATAAAAAGTTGAATGATACGTAGTTGATGACCTCCAGGAATATGTAGTCTGTTCATTATTCCAATACTGTGTTAAGTGAGCACAAATTAGGAGTCAGAAAGGATATTTGTAACATGAATTTGGGGGATAAACAGTAGATGAAGAAGGGAAAGCAAAAGACATTCCAGGAGTGAGCAATCTAGCCAAAGGTGGCAATGCATGAAACAGTATTATTTGCTTATATAAAAAAAAATCAAAGGGGCTGGGGATTTAGCTCAGTGATTCCACCACCTGCCTCACAAGCGCAAGGACCCAAGTTTGATCCCCAGTACCAAAAAAAAAAAAAACAAAAACAAGTAGCACTGTGTCAATGTCCTCAGTGGTGTCATTTATCTCTAGAACAAAGGAAACTTAATTATATTAATTCTGATGTACTTGAAAGAATAAGATATTTATATTAGTATTATTGACTGGGTTGAGTAACTTTTCCTTGCCGTTATTTATTTATTTATTTATTGGCACTAGGGGTTGAACCCAGGAGTTTTGCATGCTAATAATGTGTTCCACCACTGAGCTATACTCCCAGCCCCTGAGTTACTTTCCAGCAGACAAATTATAAGTATATCATGTATAAATTGGCCTGGAGTAGTGGTAGATGGGTTTTTACCTTTTTCCCGACTCCAAAGATTCTCCATAATTATGAACTTAAAATAGTGAAATTTCTTGTTCTTAAGATTACTATACTCTAATCTTTTTCTACAAAGTAAAAGAACTCAATTTACAAATAGTATATCAAGAAAGAAACTGATAGAGAAACCTATCTCTATAGGCTAGGTGGAGAGAGTATTGTTTGTTTGTTTTTTGCAGTACTAAGGCTCAAACCCAGAGTCTTATATATGCTAAGCACTTGCTCTGCCCCTGACCTATATCCCTAAGCCTGGAGCTTCTCTTTTTTAAAAATTATTTATTATTTTATTTATTTTTTTGATACCAGAGATCAAACTCAGAACCTTGCACTTGCAAGGCAGGTGTGGTACAGTTGTGCTAAATCGCCAGCCCTAGAACTTCTCTTCTTAATGCTAAAACATGACTACACTGGTAAAAAGTATCTATCAAGAATTTATTGAAATAATGAAAGATTAAGATAGAATGGGACATAGGAGAATGATTCTAGTCACTCCTAGAAGCTTAGAATTTCATTTCAAAACTTAATCTCTTCACAAATCTGAACTAGAACATGCTCTTCTGTTCACTTTCTTTATTATGCTTTTCTTCTGTGAATATTGATTTGAGCAGGTGTGAGTCAGCCTGTCTGGTTCCAATTCCCTGAGCTGGACCATCTTTGCCCAAAGTCTCTTACAAAACACTTGCTTTTCACAGGCCACTAGAAAGTTCTTGATATTGAGCAAGCCAGATTAAAAGAGATTTTATTTTACTGCCTCAAAGATTTGAATACTATTTGTTCTGAGAGAATGTAAACAGTGGGGAGCACCCAGATATCCTTTCTTCTCTGCTCCTTCCCTCACTTTGGAGTTGTTCAAGATTGAGAGAAACAAGCCAGTGGACCACCAGCCAACTCTTGTATTGGCTAAATGGGGAACATTTAAATAGAATTTAAGATTGTCTACTTGTTTATATATGTAGCCAGAAAATCTGTTCTGACAGTCTCAAACACAGTATAATTAATTTTGAGAATTGAGAATGATGTAGTTTTAAAATTTTTACAAATATAATAAAATGTAGACTCTATCTAGAGAGATTTCACTTTGATTCTCATCAAAACCAAACAGCAAACATGATCAGTCGCAATAAGTTTTGTAGACTCAATCATCTATCCAACTACTGTAGAGATACTTCTGTTTTTATAATTGGATTAAATATTACATAAAACAGAGAGAAAGAAAATTTAAAGGAGAGGTAATAGAGAACTTGAAAAAGTTATTCTAATTCCTTTTTTTTCCTAATCCCAAGAAGTACATGAATTGACTTTGTCACCATGCAAACACATTGAATAAACAAATAAGTATCTAAGCCCCAGCTAAAGAAAACTTGTTGACCTATAACTTTACCTGCACTGACTCAAGTCTTGAGAGAAGAGGTGGCATAAAGAAATAAGCCTAGCCAGGTGTGGTGGTACATTCCTGAATCCCAGTTACTTGGGAGGCTGAGGCAAGAGGATCACAAGTTTTAAGGCCAGCCTGGGCAATTTGTCTCAAAATAAAATGTAAAGGGCTGGGGAATATAACTCAGTGTTAGAGTGCTTCCCTAGCTTCAGTCTCTAGGAGTGAGAGGGAAAAGAATGGAAGGAGGGAGGGAAACCTACACTGTTCCTTAGACGAGGCATGAAACCCACCTAAACACAGTACTTTTTGTAGCTGTTATCTCTTCCATGTAACATCAGTTTTGCACATTAAAGGGATTCAGTGCCTTGTGTTTGGAAGTGTTTCTTTGGCCTTTATCAGATGAAAGCTTAAATGTGGAATTTCGGCACTGTCCATGTCAACTGACAGTGATATACAGCGTACATTGC